CAAGGTCAGCTGTAATAGTTTCCCCCAGGCCTCCCCACAAAAGGCCTCTGCATAGCCCCTATATGTCTTTCCTCCCACACACCCTCCTTACCCTGCCCTCACTTCCCACTTTCTCCCCCTCCCTTTCCCTGCAGATCAAATAAAATAGACTTTTTGTTTGAAACAAACTCTGTTAAATTTGAGGAATATATAACTGGGGAGGGACTGGTGAAAGAACCTGGGAGAGGGAGGAGGGGCTCAGAGATGGGGCTGGGACTAGCACCTGCCTCAGGTGTGTGGAAACTCTGTTAAATTTGAGGAATATATAACTGGGGAGGGACTGGTGAAAGAACCTGGGAGAGGGAGGAGGGGCTCAGAGATGGGGCTGGGACTAGCACCTGCCTCAGGTGTGTGGAGATGCCTTGGCTGCCCGAGAGGTCCCACCGCTTCATGTGCGTGGCCCCCAGCGACCCCGAGGGGTAGCAGAAATGGGGGGGGGGGCAGGGGCAGGAATGGGTGCAGGAGGGAGTTGGGAGGGAGCTGGAAGGCCGCTTCAGGACCGCTCAATGGTAGTGAGCAGGCACTTGACGGTGTTGGTGTGTGCTGCGCACATCGTCTCATGCTGTCAGGAGAGCTGCTCCTAGATGCTGTGCCACAGCTTCCGGTCAGTACAGTTCTCCTGGTGGCCCTCCTTGAAGTTCCTGTTCAAGGAACAGAGGGTATGTCTACACTAGCACGTTAGTTCGAGCTAGGTAGGCAAATGAGGGCAACCAGAGTTGCAAATGAAGCTCTGGATTTAAATATCCTGGTCTTCATTTGCATGTTCCTGGGCGCCACCATTTTTAAATCCCCCTTAGTCCGAACTCCGTGCCTGCGGCTACACACGGCACGGAGTAGGTAGTTTGAATTAGAGATCCTAATTCGAACTACCGTTACTCTTCATTCCATGAAGAGGCAATTTATTCCAGTGTTTAACCATCCTGACAATTAGGAACTTTTTCCTAATGTCCAACCTAAACGGCCTTGCTGCAGTTTAAGCCTATTGCTTCTTGTTCTATCCTCAGAGGCCAGGAAGAACCATTTTTCTCTCTCCTCCTTGTGACACCCTTTTAGATACCTGAAAACCGCTATCATGTCCCGTCTCAATCTTCTCTTTTCCAAACTAACGAAGCCCTATTCTTCCTTCATAGGTCATGTTCTCTTGTTGCTCTTCTCTGGACCTTCTCCAGTTTCTCCACATCTTTCTTGAAATGTGGTACTCAGAACTGGACACATTACTCCAGCTGAGGCCTAATCAGCGTAGAGTAGAGTGGAAGAATGACTTCTCATGTCTTATGCATAACACACCTGTTAATGCATCCTAGAATCATGTATGTAGCAGTAGAGTTGATAAAGTAGCATGAAACAGCAGTGACGTGGGCGAGGCAGTGCTCTGAGAGAAGAATTGATCTGAGGAATAGAAACCTACCTAATGAGTGTGGACTCAGAGATTGTCAAGTTTAGCCTAACCAAAAGAAGGCTTAGGGGAGATATGGTAGACCTGCATAAATACATCAGAGGGATAAATACAGGGAGGGAGATTATTTATTTAATGTAAGTGCCACTGTGAACAGAAGAACAAATGGCTATAAACAAATTAGAGCTGGAAATTAAGTAAAGGTTTGTAACTACCAGAGGACTGAATTTTAGAAACAGGTTTTGTTTTCCCCCACTGCTCCCGTAGGAAGATTAAATGGCTTCAAGACTAAGCTTGATAATTTTGTGGAGGGAATGACATGATAAAATGGCGACATATAGCCCATTGGCAACGTCTTGTAGCAAAAACTCCCAGTGGTTGGAGATAGGACACTCAATAGGACATCTGAGTTACCACAGAGGATTCTTTCCCAGATATCAAAAGCCCCTTGTGCAAAATGGCAGCTCATTAAGTATGCAAATGAGGCTTGACAATATTCATTGTCACGCCTCATTTTCATATGATCTTGTGCAAGACTGGCCAGTGTAGATGTAGCCTGTGAGTCTAGTAGACAGAAAATATCAAAAAATTTCTGGGGAAGGATGATTGGCACTTGAACACATACAGTGATTGCAGTTGTCACTTCTGATACTCATAGGACTTGTTGGGCTAAATCTCCTGGTGGACCTTAAAAAAAAAAATCTTCACATTATGTTGAACTCTGTTTGCATCACAGCAAGGAGCATCTCTTTGTCCGTGCTCAGCCCCTTTTGGGGAAGGGTGCTATTACTTTTCCTCTCCTGTTGTTCATGAGCAGGGTGAGGACATCTCTCTTCAGTTCCTCTCTCTCTCTCATCTGAGTTTCCATGTGACGGTTTCTTGGACCAACTAGCTCCCACGCTGCTTGTGATCTGATGGTGTTCCCAGATCTGGGGTGAAATTCACTCCATTCCAGAGTAGGGAATGTTAGAAAGTAAGTAAATAGCTAATTGTGTAGTCAATAGAAATTCTATTGACTACATGATTAGTCGATAAGGGAGGAAGCCTCTGGGAGTTATCCCCTCCCTCCGCCCCTCCCCCCACGCAGCAGCTCTGCAGTTTAAATATAGTAAGAGCCACCCGGGGGGCTGCCTGCCCACTGAGCTTGGACTACATTTAAATGACAGAGATGCAGTGGGGGTAGTCCTTGGACCGGGCCTGAGCTGGGACTGAGATGGGCTTGCTCGGTCCTGGCTCATGCTGGGTCCAGCAGCCATCCCTGGGTCCAGCAGCCATCCCTGGGTGCTGGCTGGCTCC